ACAAAAGCCCGTTATACGGCTCAAAGTGACCGCTGACCTCAGATCAGCCAGAAATAAAATAAGAAAACTCCCAAAAACATTAAAAGAGCAGCAAAGGGGCTGATTGGCCAAAGAGCTAGCAATCAGAATTAAAGTAGAGCTTCCGAACTGACCCTAATCTCTCCCTGCGCAGTGTGTCAGCTCTCCTTACAACAGCTTCCAATGCACTGACAATATATAACTGTTCTGTGCCCCCATTTTTATAGTGGGGGGGGGGGATGGATAAGTGAAAAGAACCATTTTACCCCTTCTGAGCCCACGGGTCATAGTTCAAAGGTCATGCAATGTATGATGGCTTAAAAAAAACAATCTGCACCAAAATTTGCCGGGACCGCACAGCTTGAACCCATCCCTTGTTGCCATTGGAGCATGTGGCAGTGTGACAACGTAGGACAGAATTAGGAGACAGGAACGCAGCGTTGTCACCAAGTGTATATAAGTCTTGAAAGGAACAGAGGTTCTGCTTCAGGCAGATGTGTTGCTCGCGATCTCTCCTCAATCCCTCTCCTGGCTGTCTCATCTCGCTCTCTCTCCTGAATGTCTCATCTTGCTCTCTCTCCTGAATGTCTCATTTCGCTCTCTCTCCTGAATGTCTCTCCTCGCTCTCCTGGCTGTCTCTCCTCTCTCTCTCCTGGCTGTCTCTCCTCTCTCTCCTGGCTGCGTCTCCTCGCTCTCTCCTGGCTGTCTCTCCTCTCTCTCTCTCTCCTGGCTGTCTCTCCTCTTTCTCTCCTGGCTGTCTCTCCTCTCTCTCTCTCCTGGCTGCCTCTCCTCGCTCTCTCCTGGCTGTCTCTCCTCTCTCTCTCTCCTGGCTGCCTCTCCTCTCTCTCTCCTGGCTGTCTCTCCTCTCTCTCTCTCCTGCCTGTCTCTCCTCTCTCTCTCTCCTGGCTGTCTCTCCTCTCTCTCCTGGCTGTCTCTCCTCTCTCTCTCTCCTGGCTGTCTCTCCTCTCTCTCTCCTGGTTGTCTCTCCTCTCTCTCCTGGTTGTCTCTCCTCTCTCTCCTGGTTGTCTCTCCTCTCTCTCTCTCCTGTCTGTCTCTCCTCTCTCTCCTGGCTGTCTCTCCTCTCTCTCTCCCCTGCCTGTCTCTCCTCTCTCTCTCTCCTGGCTGTCTCTCCTCTCTCTCCTGGCTGTCTCTCCTCTCTCTCCTGTCTGTCTCTCCTCTCTCTCCTGGATGTCTCTCCTCTTTTTCTCTCCTGGCTGTCTCTCCTCTCCAGTGATTGGACACACACATGCCGACCCTTCTATCATACACGTGTGTGCGTTGTCACCGCGATCTCTCTCGGTGATTTGCATAACGCAGGTTCCGTGCTTCGGTGCGAATCCTCCGGGACGGCCCGTGACTCATTGGCTGACGTCCAGCGCCTGCTGCTGCTGATGACTGTTACTGGAAACTATTTTACGTTGTTGTCTTCAGCCTTGGAGCGCTAAAGCTGAATATTTATCGTTAAAAAGCCAAAATCTCCCCTCAAAAAAAAGTTGTCGTAAAAAAATTATAATTGTGCGTTCGCAGCCCAACGACCGAATCCGAAACGTTTCATTGCGCGTCGATTGTTACATATGTGTCTCATGTGTGCTGTGTGTTGTCCTCTGCACACGTGGTCCCTTGCAGGTCCCCCCTCCCTTGCAGGTGACGTCTGCCCTCCTCCAATCAGGGCTCACTATGCAGATTAGTAGGCGTGTCCCTTCTCCCTGGCTTGCTGCTGCTGCGGCTGATCATTGTTCCTCCAGCATCTCAGCGACTGCAGGTCAGTGCACGGGGAGGGAGTGGGGCTCATCCTGTCTATGTGCCGTCCGCGCCGCACACGTCTGTGGGGTCTGTCCTGCGTGTGCATGTCTGGTGGG